TAAAATATTAACCAATGAGAGGCAGGGGGGCCCCGAGACCCCTCCCCCTGGCCTGGCCCCCACCCCGCCGCCCGCGCGGGCCACTGCCTGGGCGAGGGCTGGAAAGCCTGGAGGGCCGATCTGACCCACCGAAAGTGCCCGAGGCAGGGGGCGCCCGGGTCCCAGGGCCTTGGGGAAGGCCCCCCAGCCTCATGCCGGCCCCAAGTGCAAAGCATTGACACGTTCCAGAGAGGAGAGGGGGCGCCCTTTCCCTCCCGCGCCCGGAGGCCCGGCCGCTCTGGCCTGCGCCCCAGCCTGGCCTCCCACCCCACTCCCGGTCACCGCCCCGGGTCCATGCACTTCGGAGGGAGGCTGCGGGCACTGGAAAGCCAGGCCGGTGGGCGGGCAAGTCAGGCGGCTCGGGCGGCCGAGGTCCCGGAGCCGAACTCAGGTAGCCGGAGCCGGTGAGTGGGGAGCCATGGCAGAACCGTGATGGGGCCGGCGCGGGCGGGAGCGGGACGCGGCCTTGCCTTAAGGAAGTGAGGGGACCCCTCTCACCTGGGTCTCCCCTCACAGACTCAGGGCCCTGAGGTTCCAGGCGGGCCCGACACTTAGCCCAAAGTAGGTCTGTGTCAGGTCCCCAACCTGAAGCCTACTGACGAGTGGGAAAACGGATCCTTGGGACCAGGTAGGTGAGCGCACCTTCTGCTGAGCCTAGGGAGGTACCGCGCTGATTGATGCTAGACCTCAGATTCTCCACACGCGCCAGAACGAATTTTCGCCGCATCCGGTACTGGAGATGCAAGTCCATCTCTTCCTAAGCACCAACATCCTTTCTTCACTAGAGTTTGTTTCCGTCTTTTGGAAGCTCACGGCGCCCTAGTTCAGGAATGCTGAGTAATGCGGGTGGGAATCGAGGTGTCTGCCAGCATTTGTGAACACCCCCTTCGATGATCAGTCTTCGTTTTCTCTCTGGCGACGGCCTGTGTGTGTGTGTGTGTGTGTGTGTGTGTGTGTGTATGTGTGTTTGTATTTGGCGCTCAGTGTGTTGTCCTCGGTACACATTGAAAGCCATAATCAGGTGTGTCCAGAGTAAAAAGATCATACACTTGCCTCAAATAGGGCTGGGGTGCGGCCCCTTATGCTTGTTTGTGTGTGTGTGTGTGTGTGTGGCGGGGGTGTAAGGCAGGGTATGAACTAGCCAAGGTCGACACTCCCAGCCAAACAACCACTACAGGTGAATTCCGCAGCATCAGCCCTGTGTTCGAAGGGTGGGCACCTAAATCCATCAATGGCCCAGGCAGCTTGCCCCTCCGTTGTATACAGCAGGTCTCAGAACACTTGGTAGCTGACCTCCCAGAAAGGCGGTTAGAGGCCAATCGCCCCCGGCAGTGCGGGGTTGAGACCAGCAGGAGTCGTTTGGCCTCCACGACCCTTTCCCCTATGTTTCTGAGCCAACACCAAGCGCTTATAATTTTTCATAGCTGTGTATATGCCTGCTCCACCGGGTTTTTCTTTAGGACCTTACTCTCGTCTAGGTAGTCCTTCTCTGCCCACAGTGGATCTTCAGTTCTAGCTTCGCAGAGTTTCACAGCTGGGGTGAGATCCATTGCAGATTTGCCTAAGTTCCAATTTAAACAGGATGTGTCCCCTCCAGGAGAGATGTGTCTCAACACACTTGGGTAGTTGTGAGGTGAACAAAAAATAGCCAGGTCAGCTTTCCGAATTAGCAATACATCTGCTAAATTGTGTGTATGGGGACAGGCATGTCAGTACTTGTAAGAATTGTGTATGTATGGATGTATGTATTTGGATAATTTCCTGGGTAGCATACGGTAGCTGGTCTACCAGTCTGTACCCTAGATTTGAAACACGAAAGTATGAGTTATTTGTCCACGAAATCCACGAAACCGGGCAGCTATGGCTCAGTGGCTGAATTAGGGGACCTGAATCCCACCTAAGGAGTTAAGAACCTGCCCTGCGGCTGATCACAGGCTTTTTCCTGGCAGGCTGGGATTCCACCAACCGCTCCAGCCCACCATCCAGCAGTCACCCGGAGGACCTGCCTCAGACACTCTTAAGATTCTTTATCGACCCTCCCCAATCAAACTTCTGCTTAGAATACCCTTGGATCATCGGAAACTGGCGCTGGGGCGGCCCAAGCAGCCTCTCGAGCGGCGCCTTGCGGCTCGCAGCTCCTCCTCCGCCCTACTCTCGCCTGGGTCTACCCACCCCCCACTCTCCTTCCCAGGAACAGGCGCCCCTGGGGGAGTCCCCCCGGGCAGAGTGTGCGTGTCTCTTTAAGAGGCCCCGGGGGGCGCCTCGCGGGCCGCCCGGGGCTGGAGGGGGAGGGCACCGGCGAGG